CTTGAATTATGAAAAACATGAATGGAGTGAAATATTTAATTAAATTATCTCAAAATAAAGCTTCATTTCGGTGCAATATTGAAATTAGCTTGAATTCTTCATAACCTCTGAATAGTGGGTGACCCAACGGGTCATGGGTAGTCTAGTTAAAAACTGAAAATAAAATGAAATTACAGGTTGATTTACATTATAGTTAAAAGTTCTCAAATCTTCTGCTTATAATACATACTTATTTAAAAACTTCACTGTCTGAAAAATAAGAAAATGTCAATAGACCAAGTCTTTCTTCTGATACCCAAAACATTTCTCAATGTTATTCAAAAATCTATAACCATAAGAAAAAAATTTTAGTAATACAATTTAAGTTCAACATAATAATAAGTTTCATCTTTAATTACCCTTAAGAACTTCCAAATCATCAATAGATTTCAACAGATCAATAAAACAATAGCCAGGTGTGTAAGATAGAACATCTTCCGGTAGCTTAGCCATCTCAAAGGGAGTGGCTCCAAAAGATGATGGTAACTTCAAGTTCTGCTTAGCCTGAAGCAAAGAAGTATTTCATAAATGTAAATTCACATTTAAGTATCTATATATTATATATATCTATACATGTGTAAAATAAAGTCATCCATCTGTCTGGTGCCTTGACAACACAAGTTGTTGTGAGGAACCGGTTGAATTAATTTTGATTCAATTTAGTAGAGAAAGTCAAGTGTACCCCCCTCCCAAAGATTAAGCTTAACCTTACCAATATGGGCTGTGTGGGATTCACCTATCTCATAACCACGAAAGTATCCACAAGAGTAATTATACTATAATTTTTGATAATGTATACATATCTTTACAAAATTTTGCAGATTATTAGTAAACATTACATACACAAAATATCAGGTGTTTAAATTAAGTATTAAGATTTTTTTATAAAAGATTTACTCGTGAATTTTTTCTTTCTGAATGTTGACTATACAATATGCAAAGTAATTTTGATTTTAAGATTAAAAATACTTTTTTTTATCTGAAAAGTGTTAAGTTTCATTTGCGTAATCTCTATATCCTTCTAGGTAATCATCAAATGCTTTTTTGAATAAAACTTTATATTTAATCTGTTATTTTATCAATGCTAGATCTATATGGTATTGGTCGACCTCATAATCATCATAAAAATTAGGAAATAAATCTAAATTACTTTTTTTGTTTTAGAACAACTGCAAATTCCAATAGGAAACCACAAATGTTTATTCTAAATAGCTTAAATCTCATAACAATATACATCTATTTATATTTTTAAATTTTTGTTTTATTGACCTTTGAACTGTGTCCAACTAAAAATACCCCGACACAAATTGAAAATTACACGGCACATGTGCAGCTCATGTTACCGTATCAAATAGCATAACACACAAGTGGCTGCCATGTATACCCCATGAAAAATTTTCTTTTTCTTTCTTTTTTTTACCTAATAAGTCTATTTTTTACATTTTAGTTACTTTTATAATAATAAATAGTGAAAAAAAAGGAAAAACAAAAAAACCTCGTACTTAAATATCAAACATTTTTATTTTCAGTAAAGCTTTATATTTTATCTGTTATTTTCTTTGCTGTAACATTATACTTGACTCTCCATCCTGTAGATAAGTATTCAAAGTATAACAAAAATAAAGGTTGCAAATGCAAAATAAAATGTTCAGTGTTGTTAGTATTGATCACGAAATTTCAAAGTACTTATGGTTATAGTTTACACTTCTCACGTTTCACACTTATTTTCTGTAGTTATTTTATTGCTAGTAGATGGCTTAGAAACTGGAAGAAACAAAATGAATAGTACTCTGTTCTTTTCAGTACGGACAGCAGAGTTCCAAAGCAAACCTTCTAGAGTTTCTTCTAAACTTTTTACACTTAGTTCCTCTGTTTATTCTACTGTTAGTGGCTGAAGTAGAAATCTACCAAATATAAAGCAATGAATCACCATTCATGTTTAGGTGTTAGCGTAATTTGAGCACTTTGACACCATCAATATTAAATATGCTCATGCAGCGCATTTCCCAGAACTTTGAAAACACAGTGGGGTAGAATTTATCAATTTGTTAACAATATAATGGTTACAATGACAATTGTCTCAAGTATTATAAAATGTTTATGTTATAATTTTGTAGAAAGTCTGAGTCAATCCAATAAGTCAATAAGCAGAAGTATCCTATAGAAACTATTCAAATTGCAGCTCTGACAATACAGTGGGGTAGAATTTACCAGCTTCTTTCCAGTACAGTGCTTGTAATAAGAATTGTCTAAAGTATGTTATAAAGTGAGAGAAAATATTTCTGATATGGCTCCGTACAAAGTTGTATCTAATCCAATAAGCTTGGGTGGTTGGGATTTAGTGGTGGTAGAGGTGTGAAAGTGCTTATGAACATCCTGTTTTCTATTTTATCATGCTTACACAGTAACCAATAAATGTGCAGTTCCAATATTTTGTAAGATATAGCGAGGTTTCGGTTACCATATATATATATGTGTGTGTGTGTGTGTGTGTGTGTGTGTGTGTGTATATATATATTATTATTACTATTTACAAATAGATATTTAAGTTTTCTTAAAACACAGAACAGTAAATAAATAATACTCAGAAAACAATGATCTCCACTACTTACGATGTTTTGAAGTTCTTTTTTGTACTCGTGAGTCGTACTTGCTAACCCTCATCATAAGCTTTGTTGAAATTCACACCGATGTTGAAAACAATAATTTCTATATACTTTATATATGCATTTTTGAATACCAAAAAAATGATATGTGACTATACCAATACCACAAAAATCTATTTTAATTTACCAGGCTTCTTCACTGTGCTGTATTTGTGTCTAAAAAAAATCTAATGCCTGTTTGGAAAATAGCATTGGTCATAATACTTCAAACTCTCCAACAATATAAGAGCTTTTCTCTCATAAATAACTTAGAAAAACTAACAGAAATATGTAGAGGAAATGTAGAGGTTTTGATTGGGCATAAACTTATAGGTATAAAAAAGCAGGCATATATAAACGAGTCTTCTCAAATAATGAAGTGGTGGGAAGAGCCAATATGGTGGATTCAATAAATATTATGATATTTCAGCAAATAGAAAAGGCAGGAGGTTCTTATTTTACATTCTAGCTTGCCAGTATCGGAAATTTGAGTTTATAATTCATAAGAAGCTACAGACATTGTACTGTGGACATCACAAAATGTAATCTGACCAAACCCAGAAGATGACGTACCAGTGTGACACACAAAAATCGATATTTAGCAATATTTTGATATTTATTTTCAAATTAAAAAATTAACTAATGTTTAATACTAAAATTTGAATTAAAATCTACAATTTGATACCAAGTTTATTGACATACATTCATAAAATAGTAGTTCAATAAAATTTTGAATGTAAGTACAAACGTGATGACATGCCCTCTCACACCTAGCTAGCTACCCATATCGATAGGGTTAAAATTGATAAGCATTTCAATTTTTTACTACATGAAGCAAACATCTCTGAATTTCTCATATTCAGTAAACCTGCATGGTAAATGATAGATATGCATGTTTTCCTTCTTACCCAATGAACCCAAAGAATGAAATGCCTAACCAGCAGAAAATTCCTGTACTACATATAAAAAAAGACTGTTAATAAAGTAACTATATTTTCTGTATTTTACTCTTCATTCTCTAAACTTTCTCATTGTAGAATGTTTGTTTTCAAACTTTTTTGTTGTTTTTTGAGCTTTGTTTGTGTGACACATGATCTGAATTGGCAAAAATATCTTCAAGAACATTTGGGTATTCTTACACACATAGTTAGTTTCTAATTTCAAGAAAATAATTAAGGTATTTCTTAACCCTTTCACTGATTAAGACGGTGTTACTAAATATTATATGTACTAAATCTATAAGGACAGAAATAATAATTTAGTTAATTTTAAGCTTTTCTTAATGTAAACATTATGAATATTTACCAAACTTTCATATCATTGAAAAAGAAAAAAATTTATCCATGGCAAAAAAGTCAAACTCACTAATAGCTTTTACAGAAAAAAAAAAAAGAATGCAATGATGAAAGAAATGCCACAAGACATTAATAAATATCTTATACTTGAATAAAAGTTGTAAAAACAATGATGTTTTTAGAGAAGTTCAAATTTTCAAATAGTTTCCAAGTTTTTCTAGGTTTATTTTGTGTTTAATATGTACACTCCAGATTTAAAAATGGAGTATTTTCATGTTCTGGTGAGTGATAAAATCCCAGGAAATCTGCCAATGAAACTAGTTTATAACTGATTATATTGTATTCTCTGATATGTTTGTTATCTCACTAATAAACAGATGGCTTGATGCTTGTTCACTTGAATGATTCTAGTATAAAATGACAAAATGACTATTGCAGCATGTCAATTATATAATACCAGGCCTCTTGAGATATCATAAAGCAAGGAATTTATAATATGTATCTGTTTGCTTCTGTCCTGAGCTGTTGTCCAAGTTTTAACACTGAAATTGTTTACATTTAATATAAATTATATCTATTGATATATTAGTAATTCATGGCCATGATGCATGATTGAAGTTATTTTCCTCTGTTCAGATCTGAAGAAGATGCATCTCCAAGATACAACTAGGTTGTGTTTGTTTGTTTGTTATTAAGCACAAAGCTTGATACAATGAGCTATCTGTGCTTTGCTCATTGCAGGTATCGAAACCCAAATTTTAGTGTTATAAAATATGAGACTTACTGCTGAACCACGAGGGGGGGGTATCAGGTTGTGACATAGCTTAAAATGTACAGAAGATAAGAGAAGGTTACTTAATTCTTTTTGATATGCTTGATTCAGGAAATAACAATATCATTCCTTTGAGTATTTTATGTAAAGCTTAGTTTGTGATGATTCATCATGAATTCTGATTAAGGTCAGTTTCATTAGCCTGCAAATGAGTCTGTTGCATGCTCTGACAGTTGTTGAAATTACATTTTACAGTTTAAAGACACTTTAGTCTGCTGTAAGTTTCTTTCTTTCAAAACTGTGCACTTGTTAGTACTTTTCTGTTTGATACACAACTATTTTGAGGTATTTGTATATCAGTTTTTTTCAAGCAGTAATTCTTCTTGCTGCTTTATTTACTACAAATTCTAAGTATTTAATTTAATTATGTCAGGTATTCACACTTTAAATTTTGTTTATGGCTTGTTGTAACTGCAAAACATTTATGTGGGACATCAGTGTCAAAAGTATAATTCATTTATTTTGAGCTGTATAAACATGTATATATTTGTCAGTGTTATTTATAAAACATATACATCATGTTATATATGTTTGATATGAAAAATATGAAACATAATGAAACACGTAATACTTCTTAATATTTTTTTCTTACAATAACTCTATAGAACAATATTAATGCCATCACTGAATACCTGGTCAGGCAAGAACTTAAGGGAATGTAAGTTAGCAGGAAATGTTGCCAATGTCTTGTATGCAGCTCCAACAGTTAGAGGATTATTTTCAAGTGATATGTGCCTCCACAACAGTGACACAATGTCTGACATAAACTTCTCATAATCTACAGTTGGAACTCCCACTTGTGAAACAAGAGACATGAATGCAAACAAATTCTTGATAACTATCGGTCTGAAAAATAAATTAAAAATTGTTATTAGGTGGATTGACAATGATGTTTCTAATTTTATATTTCAAAAACCCCTTACTAAAATCAGGTTAACATATTCGTATATAATTAAGGAATTTAATTTACTGAAGATACAACACACTGAACACTTTCCTTCAAACATTTAACTGCAGTAGATGTCCAGCACATTGAATGGCACTTTATTAGCACCACCACACAAACACCTTCATAGAACACTCTGTTTACGTGCCTGAACATGCAAAACACATTTATCATGTGAAATATCAGTAACTTCACAGTTATAGTTTTATTATGGTTATGCTGCAAAGTACAGAATAACGTAATGGATCTATGTTTCATGTATGCCAATTTGTAGGAGCTTTCTATATTCATAGGTATCTATCACCAAATTTTATCAAAGAAGAAGAAGATATCTGTCACCATAAATTGTTGATTATCATTAACCAAGAGAAAAGAGAATCAGACAGTCCAACATATGTAAGGTTACATCAGTATTGACCATCAACAGTGGTCAGAAGAATAAACATGATTTTCTCCAACTGTTCCATGAGAAGAAAATCACATAAACTATCTTGTGGCAGCCTATAATCATTCAACAAAATTGCTTATTTCAGGTTCAAACTGAAAAGCATGGCTTCTCAGAAAGCAAACCATGTAAAATGTAATGTATGACTGATATGGTCTGATGAGTTATAAGTTCATATTTTCTTTACCTGAAAATATATTTCAGATATATATTTAATCTTTCTGCACCACTAAGAGCTATTACCTCACTCACAACTGCTGTAAAAGTTCCTACGCATGCCATAAGCCTTGAGAAAACTCCCATCCCTACAGCCTATGATGTAATCATCAAAATGCTGTAGTTCCACCAATAGGAGGGTGACACATTCTCCATAAGCAGTACTTCATGAGAACTAGCACATGATCTTAAGCTCATTCTTGATGACACACAGAAAATACACAGGAAGTGGGGAGGTAGGGTGGTGCAGAGATATATATATCTGAAATACATTTTTAAGTTAACTTCAGAAATGATGCTTACCTCTCTGCACTACTAACAGCTAGAATCCCACATTGAAGATAGTGAAGAGCTCCTTTCTAAAATAGTGACAGAAAGGGAAAGCCCATGGGGTGTGACTTCAATGGGACCGAGAGTCACCTAATGGAGCAGTACCTGGTGGGAGGTTACATCCTTTACAAGCAGGAAATACTCTTTACCCAACCTGTTGTTACTTATTTATTCATATATTATATTCACATCACAGGGAGATTTACAGTAAAGGATATCATGTAAATCTAGGGCCAGTAATAATGTACTGGGTAGGCAGAATGTAAGAATGTGTCTTGGTGAAATACTTACATGACATAGATAATTGTAACAACAGGCGGAGGAAAGAGAAACTCTTGTCTGCATTCCGAGGCAAATCCAAGTCCAATCCAGCTGGACATGTCCACTGAGAACTGCCTAGGAGATATTGTAATGGGGTGTCCTCTACTCCACTTCCAAGGAACACCCCAGACCTACATCTCAAACAAGAGCTAGGCCCAACCTGTCTCTTACCAGGAGGAAGGCATCACTTGCAGAAGAAACTCTCCACATCAATATCCCCTGTGGCTTGGGAATTGGGAAATATGAGTTCTCCCTTGCTTCACTAGAAAGATAGAGGGAGAAGAAATACATCTTGGGGAGAACACTGGAGAATGTGCATGGGCCACTGGCATCAAGCACAATCATCTGGAATTTGATCCCCACAGAGAGACAGTGCAATGGGTTACTACAATTAAAGACAGCAAGCATGAACCAGGTGTAAGGATAGGACAACATCAACCATTTATTTTATTTTTTGTAAAAGGTGAGGAAAATGACATGTGAATTACAGAGATATACTGCCAAAGCAGTCTTGCAGAAAACCCCATGTTAATAGTGGGCATTGAGCAATGGCAGATATATTTAACATTTTTCCTTTACTCCCACTCAATGAAGATTTCAAGTACATATTCCCTGTTAGCCAAAACCGTCATTCAGTGGGTTCTGATAGCACCAACTATAAGGAACATATGGTGCAGTTCCTCATGTAACATTTAATCTGGTGAGTTTTGCCTCCTTCAGTTTGGTTTGTGTTTGCTTTTGCTGTTTTAATGTTTTTGTTGTTGAGGAATTTGGAATGTGTTAGAAAGTGTACAAAAATCATGATATACATATGAAAGTGCCATGAAACACGAATGACATGGAGATGACTGAAAAACACAACAAGCATAACTCAACATACCAGAACCTCTGGGTATACTTGAGAATGGAGGGAGGCAAAAAACAGAGGCACAGAAAAAAAAATCTAAGATGTAAGTAATGGGAGACAGATTTGTTAACCATGGTCCACATACCAGCCTGTAAGATCTCCTCCAAAGGCTGGAAATGAAAAAGAGGCAAGAAAAGATGCATGCTGAAACTTACTGGAGAAGACAAACAAAAACATATGGTCAGGCTTACCCAAAGAACAATATGCAAGATGGATGAGTTGGCATATCTAACCAGTTAAATGGAAGGGGGAGGAGGTCTGCCATGGTAAAAATAGGTGATGGTAGTTTCCATGAAAAGAAGCAGTCTGAGCAAGACAGCAAAAGACAATCTGGATTGGAATGACTGTAGAATGATAAAGAAAAAAGGGAGAGAGATAAAAGAAAACATTCAATTGCCTTCCTGAGCAGCCCAACTCTTTGGAAGAAAGTATCGGTCTGGAAACATCATCAACCTGTCCCTATGATAGAGTACAGAAGGCATCTAAGACTTAAATGTCTGAGTAACAATGAATACAAGCAAGTAGAAGGATAAAATATGTCTTGAGAGGTAAATGATAAAATAAAAAGAGGCCAACAGCTCAAAAGGGGGCAAGCAAAAGCCCACAGAACAACACAAAGATCCCAGTAAGGTAGAAGGACCAGGTGACAAGGGGTGCATGCAAAAGGAATGAATTATTGCTTAGTAAGAGGCAGAAGTTGTGGACAACATCCCACGGTAACCCAAGATTATTTTATGGATTTACTAGATAAGATTGTCACTGATGAGTTAATGCAGTGAACAGAAAAAATACTTAGAAACCATATGTGTACCAACCACAGTGACTTGGTTAAGCACAGCTCAAAGAAAAGGGCCCAATGCAGACTAAGAAAGTCATCCACGATACCCTGATTATTAATAACATACTTGTTTTAATAGGCACAATGTCCTAATGCAAAATAGATAGCTGTGCACTTGCTGTATGACTTGCTCTAATATTTGTCATTTATCTATCAGACATATGACCAGATAATTGTGAAAACTATAAACAACAAATATACAGTAATTACATGGCTATAAAATAGGGCCCTATAACTAATGCTGTTAAGGAGAAAGTTAAAGAGCTAGGAGAATTATACTTATTTTAATGTATCGTCCATTAAAATACAATATGATTTAATGTGATTTTCAATGATATAAACTATAGTACATCAACTAGTTAAAAATCATTGATCTTCAGTGCAGGTAACCTAAACATGTTCCTGAAATCTAGGCCTGATTTGTACACAACCTTACATTAAACCACAACATGTGCACTTACTGACAAACATCCGACTAATGCATGTTGAGACACGATTTAAACTTTGTTTGTGAACAAAACTTATCTTTCCATCAACTGGCTCAGGCTCCTCTTTTCCCAAGTTCAATCTTGAGCTCTTTCAACTTTAGTGTAAAATAATCCATTCTTTGCAAAGTGCAGAAGAAATGTAAATGTCATAGGTTTCTTTCACAGAATATGAATTCGATCAAAAAATGTTTAAATTGATTGTCAGAAAATGCTAACTGTAGTGCTGCCACCTATCAATTGTTTTCTTTGATACCTAATTGCTGATTATTACATAGTCTATCATTCACTCACAAAAAACAAAACAAAAAAACAGATATTGTCAGTACAAGTATCACCTGGCTAAATGCTGCTGTCCATGGAGATCAGAAACAATGTGTAATGTATACAAAATACTAAGGCACTTATGGAGATCAAAAACGATGTATACAAAATACTAAGGCACTTATGGAGATCAGAAACAATGTATACAAAATACTAAGGCACTTATGGAGATCAGAAACGATGTATACAAAATACTAAGGCACTTTAAGTTTTCTTGAAGGTAAGACTGGGAATAGCATCCAAAATTTCCATTTCAGAAAAAAATATCTGATGGTTGTAAATTTAGGTTAAACAATAATTAAAATTATTTCTAATTTCTCATTTCAAACAATACAAGTAGGGTCCTTATAATTGGTCAAAAACATAATCCCAGGACTTTCCATATTGAAATTATCGTTTCCTAAAACATGAAAGCATCTCAATCCAATTTACACATATAAAAACATTCACTCAAATCTACTAAATTTGTTTGACGATTATTCAATGGAAGCATTACAATAAATTAGTTATTTAACTGTTGTCATAGTAATTATCAATTAGTAACTTTTTTCTAATAACTAGATAGTACGTAATATTATCTTACATTTTAGCTGCAAGTCTGCTGCCGTCTCTGAGAAAGACCATTTCTGTGTTGGTAATGCCCAGTATTCAGTCACAGATCTTGTTGAAATTCTGGTCGTTACCCACTCATATATAGTTACTACTCATTAATAATTTAATTTAGGTTATCACATAAGCTACGAACAATGACACAACAATTGATATATTATTGCTACAGCCTTATTATCTATAGTAGTTTTTTTAAAGTTGTTATTAAAAACACTAGAACTAATGAGCTTACACGGCCTTCTATAAAAATGATGAGCAATGACGGTCAAAAAATAAACACTCTATACTATGTAAAATTATGTGTGTGTAAACACTATCACTATCACATAATTAAAATGGGAGTTTTCAATACATCCACATGTTAAAGTAAGTAGAAATGTTCCACTGACTTGCTGTACAATAGCAATAACAAAATAGTTTTCTACTTTTCATACTGCCATCTGTTAAAGATCAGTCTAGCCTAAGTTAATTCTAAGTCATGTCACATGTGTTTGAATAGTTAATTGTTTCAGATACTTGTACAAAGCGAAATAAGGGCTATATGTTGTAGCCATCCACAATTTTGAATTGATAGACTAAATGGCAGACATCTAGTCAACAGCATCCACTACCAATACTTGGGCTACTTTAATCGAATAGTGGGATTTAACCAGAAAGTGCAAAGCACTATTTTGCAGTAACAGGATATGAAACTCAAATTTACAGCCCAGCACTAACCATAAGGCCATGCCTAGCCCAATTGGAATGAAAAATGTACATTGTACAGAGAATTAACCCACATATACTTTAGCATGACTTGATACATGTGATCTATATGCTCCTGCAACATTTGATGCTTTGAAGAGAAGGCAAAATAATGAATGGTATATCTGATAAAATAACAAGTTATCTTATTTCAGAATGTAATATGGTACTCAGCGTTAATATACTTGATGTTCCTTGTTGTAACCCTGACCTTTTGGTATCCTCTCTTGACCTCAGCATTGACTTGAACTATAACTCTTTCAGTAACTAAAATGTAACACAAACAGAGCTGTATGACTTAGTTTAATATAATTTTAAGATAATATTAACTAAAATGAAACAGCTGAAATAAAAAATCTGCTACTGAAACACTAAGACAAAGTGGCATAAGTGCCGTTTTTGATTAAGCTCAAATTAACATTATAATCAAATTGCCTTTTACTAATTTCACAAATTGATAACTCATGCAATGTTAGTTTGAATAACAGGGATAATAAAACAATGTTACTTCTCACAAACAATAACTTAAGTACCTAATTACCTGTGCTCACTACTTGCCTGGAGAATCAAAACGTCCACTACCTGCAGTCTTTTGAATCATGAAATGAAACTACACCATTCTGAAGCCGAAGTTTCAAGAAGTAATACTAAATTGCCGAACAACGATTTATAAACATAATGAAACTTATTTTATGTAGAGAACATACTACATTTCAATAGAGCATTCGTCTGTTTTCTTCTTCATGCTTATAAACCATTGTTTATCAATTTATTATATATTAACATAACATGCTTCCATACACAAGTGAAAGACAGTGATATTAACAATATAACAGAATACACAAATTCCATTACTCTCTCTCACAATGTTTTATCATTCATAAGGATGTCCAGTAAAATGTGGAATATGTTAAGAGAATTAATTCAGTGCATAAACATTTCAGTCTTAAATCCTCAGACATCCATGTGTTAATCACACAACAATTTTTATAACACATAGAGTTCAGAGAGTAAATGGCTAATTATACAGGTTACATATTAAAATAAAACCCTATTTCTAAACTTTTCATAGCTTAAAAACTACTTGTACATAGAGGATTGCATTTCATCAGAGACACACTGAGAACCACAAGTTTTATTCAGAAAAGTCTGGACATGGAAATGGATGTTTCAAGAACTGTAAAAAAAGGTATTTCATATGCTTTCCATCATTCCAAATCAGCATATAAAACCTATCCCTAAATGAAGCTACTACAAGCAACATGGTCTGGATAATTTTCATTGGTCCTCACTATATCCTGCATACTTACACCATCATATTCAGATGACCAGTCTCACTTTCTTAATACCTATCTTACAATATGTCCACAACTGGCAAGCTCTGCCACCTATTAATTAAACAAAGAAAATTGCTAGAAATATCACTTAATGTGAATGTAGTAACATCATGTTTCCTGCATTGAGTAAGTATCTTAAAATTCTCAGTGTTTACCATACAAGACATCTGCTTAACATCTGTATGGCTGCACAGATTGCTCAAGTAAGTTCCATGTTAACTGGATAGACCCAAACAGTCAGGACTGTACCTATACTAGAGTTATCAGTATTTATTAAAGATATAAACAAAGAAGAGATAGTGCCAAATAAACTACTAGGTAAACCTAATTATACATTTACCTGCTATTAAAATAACCTATTCATACTACTAGAAACAGCTACTATTGAAGATACTGCTTGTTTACTGAAACTAATGAAATATTTTTAACCTAGAGGAAAATAATGAATACTGATAAGAAATGCTGGATTGAAAACAAACTTCATTATTATTATTATTTACAGAAACAAAAATTAATTATCAATAATTTTACAAGTAATAATGCCTTATGCATGAATTACAATGTATTTTCTACAAGAAAGTAACAAAAAAAGTAAAAATGCAAAGGCATACCTCTTGTCTTTTGTAAGCCTTGGTGCTAAAACTTTCCATGTTGTTCTCAGATCAATAACCTAAGAAAAAAATATATGAAATCCTACATGAACTTGTGTAGCTATCAGACAATTAATAATAACTTTTACACTTACTTTTCTGTAAGTATGAAAATATTGTTTAAGGATCAGGAGTGAGCTTATCTAATCCTAAATAGTCAGATAGTTATAGGAACTTTAAATTTAGCTCACAACCTTCAAATAAACTTTAAAAGTGAAGAAAAATATTGGTAATTTAATCAAAGGGATCTTACAAATTTATTGTTGTTAAACACCAACAATGAAAACTTCAATGATACTGTAAAAAACAGTTCTTTTAAAGATCAAACAGTTGGATGCATAATTACTGATAACTTGGGTGCTGTTGGAAACAAAGATGACAAACTTTGAACTGGTTTGTATTTCATTTTAATTTGAAATAAACTGCACATACACAAGTTCATTTCTGAACTTAGGTACACAGACTAAGTTTATCTTTGTATTTAATGAATGGATAAGCAGAATAATGATTAGGAATATTATTGACAGCATTAACCATCAACATAAAAAAATTATATTTATTATCTACTGGCAGTGTAATAATAAAATAAACAATATATATATATATATATTGTACATAATTATACAAATAATTTTACATTTGATTTAATATTATGCTTCTGGCACATTTGAAAACTTCTACACAAATATGAAAGCTACAGTTATTATAACACTAAACCATTTCATGTTACTCACAGAGAACAGTTTCCTCAGTGGGTCAGTGGTAAGTTTATGGATTTACAATGTGAAAATCCAGAGTTCAATTCCTCACAATGAACAGAGCACAGATAGCCAGTTGTGTAGCTTTAACACGTAACATAAAATTATAACATAACAAGGGACTTTTTGGTCCATCTAGGCCATTCTCTCCAGTACTAAACAGTAAAAAACTCAAAAGTTCCAAAAGTGTAGTCTGTAGACCTCTAATAATCTATAGATCTATTCAGATGGCCTGCAGAAAAACCTCACAATTATGAAAAAGAAGAGTTTGTAGATTCCAGAGCAAACATGACACTTGAAGCCATAAAAATTCAGCTATGTAAAGAAACATAATATGTATAAATTAAGTTGAAAAGTCTAAAACTCTACACTATATGGCTTTTCAGTTAAAGTGAGAAAAGGTAACATTTTCCTAAATTGAAAATGTATTTCCAATAATACTTACCTCCACTGACATTTATAGCTATTACTCGACTGCCAGGGTTTCTTCTTTTACCAATTTATGCATTTGTCTGATTTCTTCTCACTTGCTCCAGTCTTTTATACCCCACTCAATTGCCCTTGGTAATATTTGTCTTGTGATACTCTCCACCTATGTCAGTGTTTTCTCTGTCCTGGTACTGTATATAAGTGCCTCATTCAAATAATGTTATCACTTTTTCGAGACTGATTCCATCCCAGTCTCTAGCACCAGCTCTTAGTGGGGAGGAAGGGCAGAAGAGTGTCAGTGGAGATAAGTATTATTGGAAATACATTTTCAATTTAGGAAAATGGTAACTTCTAAAACATACTTACCTCCACTTACGCTTATAGCTAGAATCCCACATTGAGAAGGTGGAGGGACCAGTGAAGACATTATCCATACAGAAAGCATCTGCATGTGTTACGGGTGTGCCATGGCCAGCTCCAACCGGATAGCTGAGGTTCCAATAATCCAGGCTGAAATTAATGAGTCTTGGTCCCTATATCCCACGTTGGTGGCTAGGGCAATTGGACCGCTACATTATATATATATATATATATATACTTTTGATTGGATCCCAACCTGTAGCCATAAAGTGATGTGTTCCGAACCACCAGAATCATGACAAGAAAGTAAGCAACACCAAAGCAGACAAACCTTCTCAACCTAAAGAAGCCCAAAAGGCAACACCCCAGGCTTGGAATGATGGGATTGTGTATGCCTTACTCAATCAAAGGGACAGAAAAGTGGACAAGGAGCCTTCCACTTGCCCCCAGAATTATTGGGAGGATGTGGAACGTTGTGCTCAACCAAGGACCCAAGATGGGATCACTCCGCATTCAGAATTATGAGGGGATAATAGACCCTTTTCCATGAACAATGTACTGAACCAATATTGATCAATAAGAAGGGCTATGCACACCCCAACCAGACAGCCAAGCGTCATATCTGAACCAGCATTACGAATTGGCTTCCACGTAGGTTGGTGCCACTCCTACTGACATCTGGGAAAAAACATCCAGGGATCTGGGTAAGAGGGCCCCCCCCCCAACTTTGCCCTCTTCTCTAAGAGTGGAGGAATTCACTCTAACACTCTGGAAGAAAAGCCTCTTTCCACCACCCCAGTGACTGGAACCCAGGTGTAGTTAGGATTCCCTAGCTCCACAAGTGGAATCTGGGGGTAATGAACACACACTGGGGACTCCTGAGGAACAGAGCTCTGGAAACAGTGCAATAGGTGAACCAAGTTCCCTAAATTTTTAAAAGCAAACTGACCCCAACTTATTTAATCCAACGATCAGCAGGAATTGGCAGGATTCCCTTTACTTTACTCAAGATAGTCCATGAGTGGTGGTCCAGCATAGTATGGCAATACCACCTGGTGAACTCCTAGGTGGTATTTTGTAACACTTCATAAATAGTGAAATAGTGGTTTCTACTGTGGAATTGGACTGATAAAAGCACACCTCCCTGGGCAATACTAGCCACAAAGTGGGATCCAGTGAAAAAAAAAGAGGTAAGGGACCCTGGAAAGTAAAAAGAGGAGCAAAAAATACTCACCCCTCATTATAATATAGCAGATGAGGTCAAAACAGCCATAGGGGGTAGGTAAAAACCCTTAGAAGAAGAAACTGCCAGATTATGTAAATAATGTGAGAGAAAAGTATTGGGAAAAGTTCACATACCAGACCGCATGATGTCCTCCAGCAGCTAAAGACATAGAAATGTGAAAAATCTGATGAGACACGACTCGCAGAAGTTTCCAGATAAGCAATATGGATCAACTTTTGAACCCACCTCATCAATAAAATTGGGAATAAATTGTGGAAACTGAAGGATCCCAATGAATAAAAAGTCGAATTCTAGCACCTTGAAAGGAGTTAGTGTAAGCCACATAACACCTCAGGGCTCTGATGGGACATAAACAATCGGGAGCCAAGCAGCCATAGAGGTGAGAAATAGCTGACAAATGAATTGGTTAGAAGTATCTATCCCCATCCCTGGCTGCCAGAATCTTAGGAAGGAAGGACCTATATGGGTATAGTAGAACATAAGTAGTGTGATAAAGAGTCCTGTGCACACGCAGTGCAAACAACTCTGACCTATGACACCCACAGACCAGTAGCAACAAAAAATACATTTTAAGGGAAAGGTGATACATAGTACATGTGGCTAAGGGCTCGAATGGATGCCGAGACAAAGCATGTAATATCATCCTTAATATTCCAGTTAGGTAATTGAAAAGGCCTTTTAGGATGAAGGACATGAAATTACTTGAGAAGGCTTGATAGCACTGGGAACCCAAATAATTTCTGATGTTTAGAATACTGAAAGAAGTTTATAAAGCTGCTTTATATAAGGTGATAGTAGATGGAGCTAGACCTTTGTCAAAAAGCCAGGTCATAAAACGAGATATAGTTAGCACAATTGGGTGAAATGGGTTCATTTTCCTCGTGAGCCACTATTGGCAATAAGTGTATCATTTTTGTTGATAAATGACCATTGTGGACCTATTGAGAGATTGAGACAAATACAAGGCAACTTTAGAAGTTAAACCCCAATGCCGTGTGAACAACCGCATAACTTCCATGCATGAAGTTTGAGCATCAGAATGTTTGGGTGTAGATTATTGGATCAAGGTTGCCTCAACAGAGATGGCCAAAGAGGAAGTAGCAGAGGTGAACACTCTTGAAGATACTGAAGAAGAGGAAACCATTGTTGGGCCAGTCAATCCAGGGATACCAACAGCACTCAACAAGGAGTGGACTGAACCATAGCCAGAACTCTGGGTAACAAATGCATTAAGGAGAAAGCATAGAGGTGCAATCCCATCCAGTCTTGACTGAATGCATTTATTGCCAACACACCTGTAGTTGAGAGTTCCAATAAGTGGCGAATGCATTGATCATTGGAGTCCCAAACTGAGAGCAAAATCAACCAGAAAAACTCAAGATGTAGCATGAATTTGGTCAGGAGAATTTGGTTGGGCCAATACAGATGATCTTCTATCACATTCATAACCCCTGTAACATGGCAAGTTAGGAGGCTGATATGATGGGAGTGAGCCCAGTAGATAATATCCACAGTTTGAAAACAAAGGTTTTGAGAATGTGTGACTCTTGATGGAAAATGTAAGATACCACTGTGAAATTGTCAAAATGAATCATGACTATTTTCCCTTCAATAGAATTAGACCTTGAAAATTGCCTGTTGAACAGCAAGAAATTCTAAAATATTGATGTGGAAGGAAGATTCATCATCTGTCCATAGACCCTGGAATTCTTGACCATTGATATATGCATCCCATTTCTGAAGTCAGGCATCTGTGAAGAGATGTAGTGTTGTTCAGATCCAATCACAACTCCTGATCCATTGGTTGTGAAGCGACCACTAAAGGGATTGCATGTGTGCTCATCCCAAAGGAATTAGAGATTCGAGGGATGCACACATCAGAGTAGTAGGAGAAGGAGACATAAGAGCCTGACTGCCCATTCCATAGCATGGAGTCAGATAGGAGTCGGCTGAGCCCAACTGAAATATATGTTGAAAAAGACACCCAGACGGGCAATGCATTGAGTCAGCATGGGAATGGATTTCATGGCTCTGATAAGAAAGCCAGCCTTGGTGGCTTTTGAAAGAAGAATCTGGGTGTGCCATTCTGCCAACTGATGATATGATGCCAGAAGTAACCAGTAATCCATATAATGGTGTGTGCACAAGTCCAAAGAATAAAGTTGATGAGAAAATGATCATAAGACTATGCACAAGACATATGGTGCAGATGATAGGCCAAAGGGCAGAGCCCTAAACTGCAGAACCTGATCATTGTGTACGAAACATAGATAGCAGCGGGATGACTCTGCTATGGGAAGGTGGACATAGGCATCGGCAACATCAAACTTCGTCATCCATAGACCTGGTGAAGAATGCCAACGTAGGTTGAGAAAGGACTCCATCATGAACATGGGAGGATCTAAGAATTGGTTGAGATGAGAAAGACCGATGGTCGAATGTCAATCTCTCGTCTTCTTGGGCACAACAAATAAATGGGAATAAAATCATGGATGAACGGGATCCACTCTCTCTCTAATGCCCCCTTGACCAACAACTCTCTGATAGCTCTGGAAGAAAGATCCACATTCTGCAGATATATTGGGGGCAGAAATACAACAGGTTGGGAATATAATGGAGGTGAAGATGTGAACTGAATGACCAACCCTAATGCCAGAACCTGGAGTACCTGTGAGAAGAAATTCCAGATGTTCAGAAAATGTTGTAACCATGCTCCCACAGACCCCACCAGCATAGGGTAGTCACCAATGCTGCTGGCAACGGTCTGCCCGAGCGGAGGAGCCTCTTGGATAAGGACAGAATCTATTCTGGGTACCAATAGATCGAGGAACTGAAGCCAGGACACACAACGAGCAGTAGCACCATGACTTCCAGTAGGAGCTAAAGAAAGTCGAGAGGCCAATGACAACAAGGAATAATGCAAATGGGCAACATCAAGGGACAAAGAAAAGGAGCCTCACATAACTCACGGAGGGTGGCAGCAGGGAGACGAACTCCCTCCAACAAAGCATCTCTACCCAGTAAGTCCCAACTATATACAAGTCGGGAAAGCAAAGAAAAAGCAGAAGTTCACAATCTTACCAAGTAGAAGTCAGCAAAGGACCCAATTCGCCATCAACTTGATGAGGGGATTGCTGAGAGGGTTCCAACAAAATTTGGAAGCAAGATAAATATCTCAGAACTGTAGTGAGGGTCAGACGAATTCTAGAAATCTGTGATCTGCTCAAAGTGTTCACAATCTCTATTCTGGAACCCCACATTTCCAAAAGTGGATCAAGTCTTTGGGAATTTAAATATACATCCTCCTAGCAGTAGTAAGCCAAAGCATGCTGTTCCAACAAACATGGAGGACAAGGCATAGCTATCCCTTCACGTAACTAATCGGTAAACCTCCCTGCATGAACAGCAACATCAGGTGAAGGATCAAAAACTAAGTATTCACCCTCAGACCATTCCACCATCAAGGAACAAGTAGACTCAAAAGCAACTGGAGAAAGCCTCAGAATCTCACAAACCCAATTGACTGACTGAAGAAGGGGAGCAAGTGGTGACTGATCCAAATTTCTCTACTAACTCTATCTATTCTCATCAACATACAGTGGAATTAAATGTTTAAAATTAACAAATAGAAATATGTACATACCTTTCAACTCTTCATAGAAATTCACAAAAATAGTCGTCTTTTTCACATATGCATAATTTCACATCTTTATCTTTTCACCTATAGTTTATTTTTTATTTTCTTTGCAAATTCTTTGTCTTCATTTATGCCCATATGACAATTGATGCTAGTGGGCCCATTTATATCTCTATGAGCGAGCCTTTATGAATTTATTTTGGCACACTCCCCACAGAGACGCATTGCTAAAACACGATACTGCTTACACACGCCATCTTGCTTATACAGCTTTCACAATCCAGGCGACAAGTTAAACTTATAAAAATCATTAAACTATTCAAATATGATTTTTACATCTAGTTCAATCCAAAAACTGCACACCAATTTCAAATTAATCACTAGTGGAGTATAGTTAAAACTGACCTCTTTTTTAATGACAATATACACTTGGGTCAACTAGCTACACAGTATGGAAGGTGGGTGTGGCACCCGTTAAGGGTTGGAAAATTTATTTCTCTTTCCCAGTGAATAGTGAGACTTTGCACCTTAAGTGTCAAAGGGGCACACAGATGTACACTGCCATCTACACATTGCAAGCTTGCGTGTTTATACTTAGCTCCTGCTAAAGTGGAGATATTTCATAGCATGGACCACATGACAAAAAACTGCAGTTTTAGTACTTTTTTAATGTTTCTTTTGATACAAAGGAATTAAAACTTGGATAACATAAAAATTCAAATTATAACGTACATAATATGTTAATTTTGTTGATATACTTGGATAGTAAAGTTGTTTAATTAAATTTTGAATGAAACTCATTAACGCGCTTACAAATTAATTCAAAAATGGTGTAATCCTGATCAGGTTAAGGGAAGGCTTAATAAATATTTGAAGGATAAGAGCTGGGATGGCCTAGATGGACCAACAGGTCCCTTATTGTCCTTATATCTTATTTTATCTTATGAACAATGCCACTGAATGTAAGTTCACATCAGCAACAAACTGCAGAAAATAAATGTCTAACATGCTAAAAAAGATGCATTACTTTGAATCTGAAATTACAGTTATGAATTAGATCTTAAAATTCTTACCAGTTTTGTGACGGTCTTTCAAATATAAGATATTTTTGTTATTTACCAGTTTTGGAGTTTCACATAACTTTTGTTTGTTCATTTGTTTCAGATAGATATGCAAAACTTCACATGAGCTATCTGTACTAACCATTCCTAATTTTGAACTAATAGAGAGACACCAGCTATTCAACAGCACCCACCATCAACTCTTGGGCTACTCTAATCAAATAGTGGGATTTGACTATTACTCTCACAATGAACTCACATCCCAATGTAAGAAGCACGATTCTGCAGCAAAGGGATTTAAACTATGGACCCTCAGATTCATAGTCTGGCATGCTAACCACTAAGCCATACCTGATCTATAACCTGTGTAAAAGTAATTTGGCACTAAAACTATTCCTCTAAAGCTATTAGATTTTCTGTTTATATATGTATTACGTTATCAACTCACTTTTCGTTTTAACCAATTAATAACTACAATATAAGTAAACACAAATGTAAGTCACATTTGTAACTAATGTTAGAATTCTGGAGAGATTAAAAAAATTCACAAACTTCTGCTGTACAAAGTGCAGTAATTCCTTGTAATGCAACTGCTGCTATTGGCCCCATGTTGTCTTCTGTACATTGGTTTAAGATGGAAGACAATGTGCTCAAAAGCTCTGCTCCATGTAGCGATGGGCTATAGAGAGAAAACGGAAATAGGTTATAGAATAGTATAGCGATGAACTGCATAGAGGATACAGTCAAACTGCCACAAGTTTGCCAAATTTAAAGAATGAATATAATAGTACAAAGAAAAAGGTCTGCTTTCTGTAAAAATTATAGTAAAAAGACAGAAAGACAGTGTGATTAACAGCTAAAACATTATAACAATGAACTACAAAAAACAGATAATGATACAGACTGCAGGTTTGCTCAATATAAAAACAAGTGAAATAAAGATACAATTTATACACAAAGTATTATTTTGTATTTATAGATATATTTCACTTCATGAAGGCTTATTTATCTTTTCAGTGCCTGCAGTCATTTTTATAGAAAGGAGAATGGTTCCACAAACTGGAAAAGTAAACCAAGAAACTTTGGGTAAAATCCAATATATTTTAAAATACTTTATAGGTAACTGGTTTTGTGGCTTAGTTTACATGGAGAAAAATTAAGTATGAATTTCAAAAATTTAGGAAAGTGACTTATTGCACGATCCTCTAATTATTCACCTGAATTCAAAAGATTTTTACACAAAACTTGTTCAATTGAAGAGCTAGAAATTACAAAACAATTACAGTTAGAAAAGTTCAAACATGAAATTTAAGCACTTAAGTTTGTGCAGAACACCAAATAGGTAAATATGTTTAAACTGACTCAAGGATGATTCAAGAAATGGTTTGTTTGTTTTTTAGAACAAATCCACATTAGGCTATCTGTTGTGTCCACTATGGGGAATTGAACCCTGTATTTTAGCACTGTAAGTCTGTAGACTTACCACTGTCTCACCAAGAAACTCAAGGAATGGACATTAAATCAAGATACTTATAATTCCTTGGTACAGTTTTGGTAAGATTGCTTTCAGAAATAACAATTTAGTAAGAATACTTGGAAGTTAAACAAACTCTGGAATTCTTGTTTTTCATGTTTTTTCTTTATTTATTATTACAGAAGTAACTAAAATGTAAAAAATAGGGATCTCTTTAGGTTAGACTAGGTAAAATAAATAATAATAATATAATAAAAATGTTTAATGAGGCACGCACACGAGCAGCTCGGAGTAGCTCATGCGTAATGTAAGCTCCCTGTTCCCCAAGTGATTTACAACATATAGTGCGAATAGTAATAAGACATGGTTCAAAGGGCAAGAAAACAATAAAATTTAAGTATAAATAGATGTACACTGTTATGAGTTTAAAGCTACTTAGGATAAACATTGTAGTTTCATGTTACAATTTGAAGTCATTCTAGAAAGAAAAAATGGTAATTTAGATTTATTTCAATTCTTTTTGGTGGTTACGAGGTCAGTCTAATTGACCAGCCTTTTATAGAGTTAAGGCAGAGAAAATAACCATTAAATATAAACTATTACTGAAATGTACTTAGGAGGTTTTAGAGATTACACAAATGAAATTTGAGTTTTTTTAGGTGAAGAACAGTATTTTTAATCTTAACATGAAAATCACTTTGCACATAGAGTAATCAAAATAAATACTCTATATATTCACAAACAAATCTTTTTTTTAGTTTATTAAAAATACATCACCAGAAAATATGAGTTTTTGTATGTGAAAGGCATAATGTTTACTGAAAGTCTACCAAATTTTGTAAAGATACACATACTGCATTAAAAGTTATATTATAAATACTTAACGTGTGCAAGTGTGTATATGAACTTGGTATTTTGTACCTAGCCTGTTGCAAAAGGGTTAATAAATGAAATATTTACAAAAACATCTAAGTCATTTGTAATAAACACATTTTTTTTTATTAAGCACAAAGCATTATAAGCCTAAAGACTTAGCACTGAGCTACCAGAGGGGCTATATAAAAATGACATTAGGTTTTCTTAATATAGAGAACTAAGGAGAGATTATGAAAATAAAGTATTTACAATAAAATGACTTTAATATATGAAATATTTACAAAAGGTCTGAATCTTTGGTGCCAAACACGACACATGCTTGAACTTGGAACTGCAGATCTACTCTTGGCATGTCTTAAGCTTAATAATGTACATAACTTTATTCCATATTCAATGAATATTTATTTACATTATATCACCATCTGAAGGACTGAACAATTTTGCTTATTTGTTTCACATTTAAGTTAGAAATATTTATATATCCTATATTTTGAAATTTATATATTATTATTGTTATTAAAACATTTCACACATACTTAGCTTTATTTTAAAAACTATTTCAGTTACAAATTATTTAATTGAACATTTCAATCAGTATTTTCATATGGAAATTCCATCTGCATTTGCCAGCTTGGTATTTGTTGAATGTTGATCATTATTTCAAATTGTAAAATGTACTATATAAAAAAAAGACAGAGAAAGTTTGAAGTAGGCCATATGTATACAGAGATGTTCTTTTTAAAGCCTGGAGGTGATTTAAGTGAACAAACTTCATGATTAGTACCAGTCTGCTCTGCATAGAAAGGTGATATAAAAAATACATCAAGGCTAGGACAAGTCTACTTCACACAGAAAAGGGTTACAAAAACACAGATGATGACTATGACAAGTCTGATCCACATAGAAAAGGACCGTAAACACACAGGTGATGACTGGGACATGTTTCCTCCACAAAAAGGTTATAAAAACACAGATGATCATTAGGATAGGTGTGTTCTGCATAGAAAGGAGTTACAAAATGACAGATAACGATTAGGATAGGTGTGTTCCACACAGAAATAGGCTACACAAACACAGAAGATAAATAGAAAAAGGTCTGCTCCAGCAGTACTATTTCTCACAAAGAATTTGCAAATTTTATCATAATTCTATACTAATTATAAATCACAAAATTTTATAACACAAATATAAATCAGACATGACATTGAAATGGTACCTACATGTACAATTATTTTTGTATACATTAGCAATGTTAGGCTTAGACTATTAGTAACAATGCAAAATAATTAGTCAGACTTCTTTTCTGACATTTATTAATTCTTTCATGTTGCTGTTTTCACAACATTACACAATGGACCATCTACATTCTATTCAACATGGGGACTTGAACCCTGGATTTTAGCATTGTAAGACGGTAAACTTACCATTGGCCCACCAGGGGACCAATTCTTTGATTAGAATGCATTTATGTCCAGAACTTATAAACAATAGAACTTCAAAAACTAAAGTATATGTATCTTCAAAAAACACCTTATATGCATATACCTGTTTTCACACACTTCCTTGATTGCTGCAACTTTAGCAAGTAGAACCTCATCAATTTCAGTGTCAGAAGAAATTTGTTTGCTGATTGCTCCAGTGATGAATTTCTGAAGGAAGGGAAAACAGCGAGGTTGTTCTTTCCACAACAGGGTTGAGCATCTGATAGCTAATGGTCGTAAATTTGTATTAGAATGTAGCACCCGGATAACATTGAGAACAGGAGGAACAGCTAGCTGGTGTGTAAAAAAAAAAAGGATAAAAAAAGGCAAAAACATTATTTTCACTCAGTCACTGAAATTACACTAAATAAATATTACAAAATCACAGAATATCAATCCTAATATATTTTTTGAGTAACAAGTTTTTGAATTAGAGTTATTATTATTATTTTTACTTAAATTTGGAAAATTTATATGCAGATATGCACTCAAGAGGTGCTCACCAGCTGAATCCTTGTACACCATATACAGTGTATTACTATTAGCCTATGTTATGTGGTATTAATGATCCTCTTATTATATATAACACAGTTCCAACAGGGGATAAGACTCATTACAAGTACAAAAAAGTAATGACTATTTGCATTTCTTTGTGTATATCAAATGTCAGTGTGTGTGAACAAACCAATATGAATTTTAAATAACCATATGAATGAACCCAAAGCCACTGAATAACTCAGGACATCATACATACACATTTGAGAAATAGTAATTTAAACAGTAGGCAAGCTTATACTTACAAATGTTACTAGACAAATGAATATAATGGTTAACAGATCACAATGAAACAGAATAGTAATACTCAATAATCAAATAGACTGTATGTATTTATTTAACAACATAATTAACTGCAATGTAAAATAACAGAATACAGAAGAATACTGTAGTTTCAAAATATAAAGAACTTTTAATATCTGTAATACTTGTATAAACCTAACTTTTTGTTGCTGTTAATGTGATAATTTAAATCAAGTCCAATCTTGGTAAGTATAGATATTTGAGAAATCAGAGGTGGTAAAAAATTTTTGAAGTTTCTCTTCACCCCTTCTGTGTAATTAAAGAGTTTGGAGATTTAATTGTGTTTTTCCTGTTATGAAATTTCAATAGTGGGCTACTCAGATCAAGCAGGCAGAGAAGTCAGAAAGAAAGACCAGAAATGCATTACTTTTCCTTTCGTAAGTGTACTGAGAATGTTTAAGCTTCCAGTCATAAAGATCAAGGATCACAAGAAGAGAGACCATTCAGCCCACACTCACACCCTGGGGCAACACACCCCACCCCAGAAAGAACCATTGTTTATTAAAAATTCACAGTTACTGTAAGAATTTGTGGCAACAGCAGCTTTCACAGAGAACAAACGATGCAAGCATGAATTAACAATACAAGAGAATTGACAAAACCTTGTTGAAACATTGTACATTTGCTATTATGTTAAACTTATATTAAAGTTTTTCTTCATTACCCATTCAAGCCGTCTCCAAGCATTATTATATGACAGCATAGTTCTTAGGGAGGATAGTTCAGGATAGAGGTTGACATAGGAGGAATGGTAAACGATGCAGGTAACATTAATCGCATAAATATCTGAATAACGACTGCATGCAAGAAGGAGAAGGAAATAGGTCTTGACGGACAGATGGTTGATGGAACATGAAGACAAAGGTTGAAATTGAGAACAACAAGGGCATAAAGGACCACGCTGAGACCCCTAATAGGCAATTCAAAGGAACAGAAAAGGAGAGAAAGGACAGTGGAAGACAAAACCAGATGAACTCTCAAGAAAGAGAAGGAGGTCGACGAGGCTACCTGATAACTATACACAGCTAAAGTGGACAAGCCTTTGTCAAACAACCGGGTGAAGAATAGGGAAAGATGTGGAATGGAAGGTGGGAAGGATAGAAACCATGGTGAAGAGACCAAAGTCATAAGGCATATTATCATCTGTGGTAAACAGACATGGAAGAAGGCATAATGGATCAAGAAAGGAAAGATGCAAGACGTGGAGTCAGTCCCTGGGCTGAGACAATGGACCTGACAAAAGCCATATGTGAAGACAGAGAGTGGTGAGATCTGTGGAACAAGGGACCACCCCATGAAGAGAAACTTGTTGGGAGAAGATAAACAATCCAGATTCAAGGAGCCAGGAAAAAGGCAAGCTAAGACCACAATGTGGTGACTGTGGGCCCAGAAAGGAGATCCAGGATCTGAAAGCACAGAGACCTGGAATCAATAACCCCTGGCTCAGTGATATGAGTGACCACTGTGAAGAGGTCAGTATGTATCGTAACTACCAATCCCCATAAAAGAGGAAGGAAGTGGGACAAAGCCTGATGAACTACCAAAGGCTCAAAAAAGATGATATGGAGAGAAGACTCCTTGATCAACCATAGACCGGAAATCTCCCAGGAGTCAAGGTAAGAATCCCAACCCTCTAAAGATGAGAATGTGAACAGATGTAAATCTGGAGAGGTGGAGTAAGTAGCACCCTCACTATGGTCTGAACTCTGTCTAACCACCAAGCCAGATATGTGAGAAGAAGTTCACTTGTCAAAGAGTGTCCACTGAAGGGAACTCACAGGAGCCCAGCCCAATGGAATGAAAGTTTCCAAAGAAGTCCACAGGTGAGGAACGTGTGAGCTGCTCGCTCCAAAATCCAAAGAGGAGAAGGCTGGGCCCGACTGAGGTTGGAAAGAAGACCCCCCAAAATGAATGGGATATTGAGAGGGAGTAAGAAAGGACATCCCCACTGTCAACAGGAATCCCACACGTTCTTCATCCTGTAGGAGCAGAGTAGTGTGGTTCCTGGACTGTGAATGGGAGGAAGCAAGCAGGAGCCAGTAATTCATAGAAGGAAGAGTGCAAAGACTGATAGAGTGAATATGTCAGGAAAGAGTTTGTACTCTCTCACAAAATACTAAGAAAGCTGAGGTTAGCCAAAAAGGTAGGACACTGAACTAGAAAAGTCAACTTAGAGCAACAAATAACTAAAAACGAAGAGGACACTGTGGGGAAGAATTCTGAATTGTGAGGAGAAAATGAGGCTTCTAGGATCACAAATATAGAAAAAGAAACCAAAGCCAATTTCAGCCCTATGAACAGGAAAGAAACGGACACATCAGCAATGTAAGAAAGCAAAAATTTTCAGTCCCACAGTGACGAAAATTAGGATAAGGCACATAGGTAATGCTTATTAAAACAAATATTCAGATAGAACAATGAATTAGATATTACTGGTAGTAATGATATGTAATGTGCAAATTATCAAAACATACCCAGTTTACAAAGGACTGATAAGTATCAAATGGACAAACTGTCTAAATGTACCTAGTCCACAAAGTATATAATAATAACGAATGTGCAAACCGATGAAAATTACCTAGAAAACATTAATAATCAATATCTCACTTACCATACCTCTAGAATAACCTAAATGACAAAGGACACGTAATTAAGTCCTACACTGACAAAAATGGGGATGAGAATGCACACAGTTAACAATGATGAAAAAATAATAATTATTTAAGTAGAACAATGAATTATATGTTACAAGTAGCAATGATATGTAACCTAGGTGAAGTACTTATTAATAATGAACTAACATCACCAAAAAATTTGCTGAGCCTAAAAGTACATATTATTAACGAATGTGCAAGATGATTAAATTTACAGAAAATACAAAGTAATAATCAATATTATACTTACTTTTCAACTAAAGAAATTTAGATGCAAAAAGACACAAAAATATCTAACTCATCAAAGTCCAACCACAGATTACGTGAAATATGTAATTCTCCCATGTGTAAACAAGGGCAAAGCTATAAAGGGCATCTGAACCAGGCCTACCATTAGTATATTAACGTGGTGTGAAGTGCACATGTTGAAAAACTTATCACATGGAGAACTGGAAGCAATAGAAAAAAAAAAAGGAGAAGAAGAACAATTCAACACTAGATAGGATGACATGGCAGCAAAACAACTGGTGGAAGGTGCCAGAAAATGAGAGTCCAAATTGTTTACTCCTTGATTGTTATGTTTACTCCTCAGAAACATTGTCATATTGAAAAGAAAACGAAATAACTGGCCGAATATATAAATTGAGCTTCCTGCAGATTAAGGCCTGTACCTCCTCTTTAGATAAAATCAAACCCAATTCCTAGGAAGTCATACCAGTGGCAATTTTTGACTGTAATGGGAAATTCCGTACTCGATACATTGATCGCAAATTGATTTTACGATCCATTATAATTTGCTAACAAGAAGTAATTGCAAAAAAAATTGTTGTAACAATTAAATGCAAATACAGTAATATAAAACTGTAGAAAAAAAATGGAAATGGCAAAGAAGCACGTTTATAAACAGTAGCTACATGTGGAAAAACACACGTCTAAACAATGCTGTGCCAATTAAGAAAGTGAAGATTGAACAAGAATAGCAGAGAGAGCTAGGTATGCCGGTAAAGGTGGTGCAATATTATTAGTGGAGAGTGGTCACATGATATTCACATGTTCAGAAATGGCAAAAAATTTTGGGGTATATAGCCTAGTACACTAATCATGAAAATTTCTTTTAGCACTGCTTAGAAAGCAGACAAACATCAAAGAGTTTTGTGTGAGAAGAGGTAAGACCATATCAGAAGTTTTGACATAACAATGGCATCTTGAGTATGAAAATACAATAACATAATATTTACTTCAATGCATGTAAAACAGATCATGTTTGAACATTTGTGGGTACCTTTGTTTTTGCTTAAATATGATTAAAAATATACTTTGTTTCTATCTAAATGAACTTATTAAAATTGTGTATATATAGTATAACCAATATCCCATGGCCAATGGTTTCATGAATAACATGCAATTCTCAGTTCTCAAACATGTTTGTGCCTACTGGAAGCTCATTATCTCACACACAAATGAATCACTTCCATGTGAAAACAAGCCATAACACACCTTCTCAGTGTTTGTAAGTAGTAGAATGTAAATTCAACAAGTATTGTTATAACCATTCACAGTTTGTTTGTTGCATTCTCAATATATTATTCCCAAATAGTTGCATTTAACAGAAATTTCATTCCAATCAATACTGTGTAAATTTTATACTTGACAATGAAAAGATTTAGTTCACTATGAAAAAAAACTAAACTACATTATTTAAAGTGTATTAAAATACCTTATGTGTTGCCAACTGGGGTACTGTTTCAATCACTGCAAATTGAAAGTCTGGGTTGAAGTCTATATTCAATTTATACAAAAGAACGGGAAGCAAGGTGGGGCCCTGAAAGTGAAACAAATTTTAAATTATATAAATTTTATTTTTTTGTTTATACATCAGTTTCTAAATTTATATAGTTATAACACGTATCAAAGTGGCAATTTACTGCTTATTGATAGAAAAAATAACATAACTGAAAACTAGTCATAATGAATAGGTGAATTTGTAAAAAACATAAAGCAAACTGTATTCAGAGTTCTATTCAAGCCTATGGTTCACAATATCATGAAAGTGTATAATGAAAGTTACAAATATCGCAACATTCATAAAAATATTAATAAAATAGTTGTTTGACAAAATATTGTGTTGTTCACAATAGATGGATTCCATCTTCCATCTTCCTGGAGCAACATTTGTTTACTCATTTTAGCTTATGTACAACATAAACATTTATACTTTGTTGGTGTTTTTTTATGTATTTTGACAGTTTACATTTTGTTATCAAATATTACACTACAACAATATAAAAATGATATATATATTTAAGTAGTTTTAACCATACTACAATATCAGATAACAAGAGTAATTCTTGCTGTCAATTATTTTAAATTAACAATCTTAAAAATATACATAAATAATTTCTTATATTTAGTCTTGTGTCACACTTGTGTTATCTATTTCACTAATTAGCTACATGGCTTTAATATGTTCTTTTCTTTGGAAAAATGTATGAACCTTTGTATTATCATAACACAACACAAAACAAAATCTAGACTTCAAACTAAACTTCTTATTTCTCTAATCCATATCATTTCAGCACTAGGAAATGTCACACAATACCATCAGACTAGTAAAAGGGTCATAAAGTATCACTGTATCAGTTATCAAGGACAACACAAGATAAAACCAAAAATTTGCTAATCAAGATTTGCAATTGGATGGCACATGGTATTTATTATTGTTATTTATTGTTACCTTGTGTTTCTTAACTTTATACAGCTCAAATTAATAAAAATATAACCTTCTCAGCAAAAATACAAGGATCCGAGTCCTATAGATTTGTCTTTAGCAGTGAGAAAAGGTTGTAGGAGAATGAAAACATTAAAAAAGGAAAAAAACAATTCATCAATTTTGTTCTACAGAGTTCCTCATAGTAGTATAATACAAAAAAAAAGAATATCCAAAACACAGGTAGTAATAGTATAACATATAAATAATATCCAAAACACAGGTAGTAATAGTATAACATATAAATAATATCCAAAAACACAGGTAGTAG